AGGGTAAAGCGGGGCTCACAATTGAGAAAATTTACCTCCCGAGCTTGATTTTGCCTGGTGATAGCCCCGGGCTTTCCCTACATTAGGGGGAGGGGTGCGCTGAGGGAAATGACCACAGATTGAGGGGATCAAGGTATTTCATTACTTACTGTCGTGACCTCAAGCAAGTCACAGGCTCTATGAGGCAGTGTTGTCATCTGCGGAACGGGACGGATCACAACTATCCGTCGCCTTAAATCCCGCAGTGCGGCGCAAGCCACAGCCCATTGGCATAAAGGCAGCCAGAGGCAGTCAGCTTGTCCAGGCTCCGTCTTGCGCTCTTTCGCTTATGCCTGGCTCTCATCTAGGGCCTTTCCTCACCCACACATGCACTGCTGCTCAGGTTTGCACTGTCACCTTTTCTCCTGGTGGTCCTTCCCGTGGGGGCTCCACCCAGATCCTCGTCACAGGCTGGTGTGCCTGTCCCCAGCTGCTGTGCATGTTGGTTGCTGATGGCCCAGCCGTGTCCTTCTCTGGGAACTTTCCCTGAGCCAATGGGAGTTCCTTCATCCCAAGGTGCCCAGGAAGTTATTCCCACCCCTCCCTCCAAGAGGTGGGCAAAGCCAATGACAGACAGATTCAGGGTACAAAAGTCCGGCCCCTTCCTCAAGGAGGGACAAGTCTGCAAGGCCAGATATCTGCTAAAGCTCTAGTTCAGAATTCCCTGGATGGAAAGAAGAACAAGTTGTATTTCCTCCCAAGACACCCCACTTCCTCCCTCCTGGGGAGGCAGCTGGAAGCTGTGGAGAAAGCACGACCTGTGAACAGGAAGGCAGGCCTAGGACTGAATTCTGGCAGGAGCAGTTAACAGTGGTGACATAGGTAATTCGCTATACTTTTCTAGGCTTCAGTTTCCTTGTTTATAGGATACGGGTCCTCAGTCCCACTTTGTAGCATTGATGTGAGGATTTGAGAGCAGTGGCAAAGCCCCTTGAATGCTGCCTGCTGCACAGAATGACCCCAGAACCTTGGCTGACCTTAGGACGGGAAAGGCTGCAGGGACGGCTGCAGGCCAGCTGGTGCAGGGACCATGCCCCCTGTGGCCAGTGGCCCATAATGGCCAACTCTGGCCCACAGGAAGTGCTGTTGGCGCAGTTACATGCTGCACATGTCCGTGTGCACTAGTGGCCTTACAACCCCTCCTCTGGGGCTCAGCTCAGGAACCAAACCACCTGTAAATGAAAACCACAGCCAAGTTCTGATGCGCCGCTTATGGTCTGGAGGCCATCTTCTCTAAGCATTGGCCTGTCAAGAGGCCCCCGGAACACGAATGGCTTGCAAGGGTGTCTGGTGGACTTTCCCACTTGGCCCCACACCTCTAGCTCACACCACTGGGCCATCTGTTCCCAGCAGCCTCGGGCCATCAATCAGTAGGCCCCAAGCCAAGGCAGCAAGAGGGAGCAAGAGTGATGGCTACCCCATTCAGTCGAGAGGTCCCTCCCGCCTCCCAGCAAACCCCAAGCTCCCCTCCCAATAACTGTTATTGTGGGAAGCACACAGAAGCCATGCAGGGAAACCTCTCCTCCAGGCACCACCCGAGCCAGGCTCGATCCAAGGGCTCAGGCTGGGCTAGCGGCGGCGGTTCCCAGCCCTTGGCTCCATTCTTTCCCATGTGAGGGTGCCATGTGTCCTCAGGCAGAAGCGGACGGCTATAACGGGGCCTCAAGGAGGGTTGGGAGCTTCCAGGATCCTTGTCAGGCCTTGCATGGTCTCAGGCCACTACTTACGGAAAAGAGGGTCTCCAGCCCAAAAGAGAACTCCCTGTCACATGGATGGGGCTCCCAGAAACTAACCAGGAGGAGGCTGGAATCAGAACATGGGGAGTGGATACTACTAAGGTTTCAGGGGATGAGGTAAAACACCTCATAACAGGGCAGGTTCTGCCGACTGGACCCAAATTCTCCAAATGTACTGGTTAAATCTCATTTAACTGAGACTGGCATCTGTACCTGGGATGCATCTTCTCCTAAACTTTCCCTTCTTTTGGACCAAAGCTAATCCCCTTCTAGACATCAGCCTAGTCTTGCTCAGGCAAAATTTATCATAATAAGCAATTTCCATTTATTGAGAGCTTATTATGTGCCATGTGCTTTACACACACAGTCTCACTTTATCCTACAACCCCAGGGCATTCTTATGTTTACTCCTGTTTACAGTTGAGGAGACAAAGGTTCAGAGAGGTTCCATGCCTTGCCTAGGTCATGAGGTTTTAGGTGACACAGCTAATCACAGTCACAGAACCTGGGTCTGTCCGATTCCAGGGCTCACACTCTTGGCTGCCATACTGCTTTGTCACCAAGAACAGGGGAGTTCCATGAAGGGAATGTTACCTTCTGTGCTCTGTCCTCGGGTTGGTAGATCCTGGTAGGTCCTAAGGCTGGGAGACGAGAGAGCTTTCCACACCTACCCATGCTGAGGACAGTGCGAACAGTAGCTTCAGGGAGGCTGCTTTTAGTGCTTCAGATTCCAACTCGCACAACAAAAAGAGTATGTTTTTGTAACTGGGGCACATCCCCACTGGCAGGTAGGTAACTGGGCTGGGAGAAAAAAGGGGGACAGGTCCTTAGCTCATCTGGATCTTCACAAAATTGTACATTTTGATGTTTTTCCCTGTTATTGAAATTCTACATGGCTACTAAAAATTAGAAAATGCAAAAAAGTAAACAGAAAGAAAAAATAACTTGCAGGACCTTTACCCGGTGATCTGTGGGCAAATTTCCTTCTTTCTCTGTAAGCGCTGGAATTAAAAAATTATAGGCGGGATCACATTGTATAAGTATACGGTTTTATTCATGAGCAAATTTCCATATTATACATTTTTTAACCACTGTTGTTTGCTGGCTGCCTCGGCATCCATTAACTGGCTGCACCCTTTTAATTTCAGGTTTTATTTATTTGCATATGAAAAAGTTGTGCATTCCAATAATCAAAATCATTTCAACAACCATCAAAATGGCACTCTGATTAAACTGCATTTTACAGCCTAAAGGACACCGTGGACCAGTTGGTGTTTCCTCTAGAACTCCGTTGTCCCACCCAGCTTCCGCCTTCGAGTGCTTTTCCCTCCGTGCCAGCCAGACGGGGGACGCACGTGCAGCCTTCCTTGTCATCAGCTCTCTCATATGAAAAGGGGCAGCACTTGATCCAATCTCTTTGCATCTTACAAAGTTAAGCAGCTAAAGGCAATGCCTGCTGGCGGTGCGTGCCTCCTTACAATTCGCCCGCTCGCTTCTCCGGTTCAGTCGTGTCTTTTGAAGGCAGTGGCCGTGGATTTTCCTGTTGTGGCGTTTCTGTCTTCTCCAACTTACCGAATTGCTCAGTCTCAGCCGTATTGGGTTTGTCAGACCTGGTTGCAGAGGAAGCGGAGGGAATCGCGGGAGCGAGTGGTCTGCTCAGTGCCACCCCGCCCCCCCAACCCTATTTTTCTTAACCGGTTCCCTCAAGGTGTGTATTTAGGGTGGGATGAAGCACATCTGTGCTATTTCCCAGCTCACTTACTGTTTTAGGGGCTCAGAGATCAATTTCGTTTTCCTTGGCAGAGAGTTGGTGCCGCCTGTGGTGTTTGCCGTGGGCGTCTCGGGCCTCACTTACCCTGTGCACAAACTCTTCAGCCATATCCTGGACTGAGCCCGGGGCTTCCACTATTTTGGCACCTTTACCCCCGGCCCCATGGAGCCAACACCACGCTCCTGGCCTCTCAGCCACCACCTGTCCCTGTCCCTCCCCAGAGGGCACTGCTGTGACGTGATCACGGCTTTACAGATGTGAGGACTTCACAGGAAGGGAGCCCTGGTCCGCTCAAAATGCCGGCTTTTTGGCCCCCACTCAACTTCCCTGACATACATCCAGCAAGACAGGCAGGTAGGTGAGGGGACCGGTAGGAACAGAGGGCGGCGTAATGGGGTTTGGAGGCCAGAAGACCTGGGTTTGGATCTGGCTCTTCCACGTACTAGCTGTGGAAACTGAGCAAATTATTGAGCCTCAGAGCCTGGGTTTCTTCATGTTTATGAGAGAATAATTCTTTCCCTCTAGGGTTTTTGTGGGAATTAAATGACATAATGCAAGCGAGCTTGTCGAGTCCAGTTTTCGACCTAATCAAGGCAGTTACTGAAGGACTGAGATCATCTGCCACCCCAGGGAGGAGTGTTTTCTGTTCAACTTTTCCATTATACTATCTCTTAGGGTCACTGAGCTCTTGTTTTCAAAAGTTTTATCCTCTTGGAGAAAAAGTTCTCCAAAGCTCCGGCGGTCAGTCCCGTAGCCTTAGACTTTCCTGGCCCCTCGAGCTGGCCAGGTCGTGTGCAGATAAAGGGCTCCCTACCCTCATTTTGTTGATGGGTCCAAGACCACTCAGCTTACTTTAGGGATAAACAAGACAAACAAAAACACTCTTCACGCCTCCCTCTGTGTACCAAATACCCTCATCCGCGTGCTTATAGTTAAGACGCACTTGCTGGTACATGGAGCGGGACTGTGTATTCTCAAGTCAACTCTGGGAACGCGTCAACTTGAGAGCTGAGTCCCTGCCTTTCCCTCTGGTCCGACTCTGTCCCTCTGCCATTTCATGTTTTGGTCCTGGACCAAACGCACCCCAGGGAAGCTGAAGACAGGGAGAGGAAGGACGGACAGATACTACGGCTCAAATGCATCAATTAATCCAGTGGTTCTCCTGTGGAGCTTTTAGGAGTCCCTGGTGCCCATGCACATCTCAATTCAATTAGATCAGGATTTCTGGGCATGGGGACCGGGCACGGTATGAAGTCTGAGCCAAGTCTGAGAACTAGTGACTTAATTGCTTTTGCTAATGTGCCTGCCTGTCCCCCATGCATCTGACTTTATAATACTCCATGTGGACTTGGGCCCACAGCCAATGCTTCTGATGGTGACGGAAGACCTCAGTCTGTTCCTGATTAACTCCCAGGACGAGAATATGGTGGCGATTCCAAGATCACACAGATGGCCCAGAGTCATACATGACAAACATTTTATTATATTAAGAAGAGTCATCTGTTAACTAGTGAACTACAAAGGGAGTGCAGCTGAGGCTGCTTCAGAAAAAGGACATCAGAGGACAAATATAGATTTTCAGCATCACAAAATGGCTAGATTCTCCCCCACTTTCCCCATGAATCAGTGGCTCAGGCCGGTTCTGGTAGGAGTGTCTCACTGCTGACTTCACATAAAACCAGGCTTACCCTAATATGCCCACGACACAGGTCCATCTCCCTAGCGGCCAGACCGCTGTGGCCTGAGCACAGGAGGCTATGCCCGGGTGGCATCTGCCCCGCTGCTCTGCAGCAATCTCGCTCTTCCTCACAGCTGGCTCTGGGGGCCGCTTCAATGGCAGCATCACCATCTGGGGCCCACACGAGCAGGCTCCCTGTTGGGCTGCGGTGGGCTCTGAGATTGGTTCCATGTGGGAGTGGAAGCAGCTTGGTTCCGCCTCACTACACAGCAACTTTTATGCCCTGAGGGAGTGGCTAGGAAGTAGTGCTTTGCCCAGAGCAGGCGCACCCAGCTGGCTGCAGAGGATGCGACCCTCAAGGCAGAGCTGAGCAGTGGGGACGCTGGCAGAGGGACTAGCACCGCCTGTCCTTTGGTTCACAGCAACTTCTGAAGACCCGTGTCCCCTCCACACACTGGATATTTGGACGTGACCCAAGTGGCTTTTCCATCTAACCCGAAGGTGAGGGGACCACCCACCACGATGCCCAGGCTCTGTCACCTGTTCAACAGTGACTGTCCTCGCTGCTCCTGAGCCTCGTGTGGTTCCTCGGTTTACCCTCGTGTTCCTGGGGTGTGCCTCGGCAATGCAAAACCGGGGATCCAGAAGCACCCAGGCTGTTCGAGAGGCAAGGTGCTCATTTTCACTTGCTTTTCTTTTCTCCTTCCTGCTCCCACCCGGCAGGACCTCTGGTGGATTCACAAGGGATCCGATGGCTTCCTTCACCCCAAAATGGGCAGGAGGCCGGCTGCCGCCCCCCTCCCGCGGTGCTCATAGTTCTCCTCTGCCCACACCCACCCTCACACCTGCACCAGGTCACACCATGGAGCACACTACGGATGCCAATCTGTTAGAATACGGGCCAGCACCTTCTCCATCCCCGGCCTGGAAGGAGGTTCCTCAGAGGCCCCTGTGGAAGCCACAGCCCCTCGGCAGTCACTCCTGCACCAGGAAGTTGATGAGGGCGGTTCTGGGGGACAGGAAGGCCTTCTTGATGCTTCGGCCCTGCAGGAGCCTGACACCCAGCTCGCTTTGGAGAACAAGTTCATGCACTTTGTCCTGGTCCTGGGCGACTTGCTGGGGCACAGGGATTTTGCCGCAGGCTTTGTTGTTGATCTGAGAAGGAGAAAAGCCAGAGACAAACAGTGGGGAAAGTCCGGAAAGTGGCAGCCAGCCGGATACCAATAACCACTTCCTGCAAAGGGTCCTCTGTGTCTGTTTGGGGAAGGGAATGTGGGGAAGAAGGGAGGAAAGACAGCACCCAGCTTCTGAAGTGGACAGAGTGCAACTAGGTGAACAGGATTAATGCTTGGAAGAGGAAGACAGACGGAGAGAGGGAGAGAGAGAGTAGGAGAGAGAGGGAGGGAGAGGGAGAGGGAGAGGGAGAGGGAGGGAGGGAGAGAGGGAG